TAATCGACACCAACACCACTATCCTTGAGGTGATCCCTATATGCAGTTCCAAGGCCGTCATCAGCACTCACGCACCCTATCATCTGGACTCTAGGTACATCAGTAGTGTTGGTAGAGAGTAGAGTTCCAGCAGCGACAGCTTGATTAGCACCCTTCCCTCCCCAACTTTTAGTGAACTTATCACCGGATACAGTCTCACCAGGCTTAGGCAATCTGGGTAGTCTACAATGGAAAGTGAAGTCTGCACTTATCGATCCGACCACGGTTACCAAACAGCTGCTACTGAAATCGTTGGAAGACATTCGGGAGAAATAACAACTATAAACTGAACCAATGACACGATCAGTGAACAGATTAGCACAGACTGCCTAATACCTACCATCAATATCGAGTTACGCTAGAAGCGTGTGTCACAATGCCTATGTCCCAATACGTCAAGAAATCCTAGCGTGGGGCTGTGATACCTTCTAGATACTTATCTCACAAGAAAGGATGATGATCCTGCCGCTCGTAAAAATGTGAGATGTCAAGGGAGCTCGATCGGATGTTCAGGCATAGACACACATAGATGGAATCAAGTTGAATTTTCAGGGGATGCGTTCGAACTAGGATAGGTAGCGGAGTGGCATGCGGACCGAAGGCCGTCAGAGTGATCAATTGCGCAGGAGCATGAACTAATGTGATCAATCTCGTCAGGTGAGGCGGCTATGCCACCATCTCAAGATATGACTTAGTATGATCAATTGCGCAGGAGCATGAACTAATGTGATCAATCTCGTCAGGTGAGGCGGCTATGCCACCATCTCAAGATATGACTTAGTATGATCAATTGCGCAGGAGCATGAACTAATAAGATCAATCTCGTCAGGTGGGGCGGCTATGCCACCATCTCAAGATATGACTTAGTATGATCAATTGCGCAGGAGCATGAACTAATAAGATCAATCTCGACAGGTGGGGCGGCTATGCCACCACCTCAAGATATGCCTCAGTATGATCAATTGCGCAGGAGCATGAACTAATGTGATCAATCTCGTCAGGTGAGGCGGCTATGCCACCATCTCAAGATATGACTTAGTATGATCAATTGCGCAGGAGCATGAACTAATGTGATCAATCTCGTCAGGTGGGGCGGCTATGCCACCATCTCAAGATATGACTTAGTATGATCAATTGCGCAGGAGCGTGAACTAATAAGATCAATCTCGTCAGGTGGGGCGGCTATGCCACCTTCTCAAGATATGCCTCAGTATGATCAATTGCGCAGGAGCATACCCTGATAAGATCAACCCGATCGCCGATGGGGCACTGAGCATCTATCTAACACCACACTGATGCAGGTGTTTATATTGCGATTACATAACATGGATCATCACAACAGGGATGATGCAAGGCATCACCTGTAAAGCACACCACTAAAGCCTATGTGAACAGGATCAGTGTAGCCGACTTGATTTCTTTGAATGCCGCCTACACCTGCGACAGAGGATTGGCTTGACTCTAATCTTCGTCTCATTGAGTGTTTCAAGGACTCCAGCTTGCGGGTCAGAATCGGGCATAGGCGCTTCTTGGCCCACAGTTGTGATATCGTTTCTCTCACAGGCATCATTTTCCTGTAATAGCTTCCGTTCCTGTTGCTTAGTCATCTTCGATAATATGTGGGGACATCGACTATCTTGAACTTTAAGGGGTACCTGAATGATTCTCGAGCAAACACAGAAAGATGCATCCCTGAAGTCTGGGATGAGAGAGACAAAGAGTCACTAAATTCTCATAGTAGGCACCACAGCAATGTCTAGGTGTAAATAATATCCACTTCACTTCCGTTGGATACCTTGCCGGCTGATAACATCCGATAGGCACCCAATACTAGAGGCTTCACAGCGTGGACACCCTCGTCTTGTAATGCATTAGCGCTGATACTTGGAAGACTAGTATACCGTCTGATAGGCCGTTGTACAGCAGCAAACTCATGGTCGAACTGCTGAGGCTCTACAGACGCGATACGGGGCGATGACGTAGAGTCATCCCTGAAGCGAGAGAGAAGCTGCTACCCAAATAGGAGCGTGCTTTATGATGCATACACTACTGGAAGTGATGCTCCAACAGGTGATCATTCTTACTCGGTAATGCTGGGGAGCACCTTGGGCTCCATAGTCTTAGTCACTCTCGGGGCATTTACATCCATCCGAAGCCGACTCATGCTCTTACTACGTTTCTTACGAGAGAAGCTGTCAGAGCAGGCAGCCGCTAGAGGATGTCTATCGAACTTGGTGGCCAAGTTGTTGCATAGATCTACTGTAGACCCTCGGCTGATAATGCTCATGTTAGACACTGACCGAGGAAGAGTTCTACCCTGGCCACTCGTTTTACGTAGTATCTGAGGTAAACTCTCGACTGCCTGGTAACCCTCTAATATCATCGCGGTGAACTTCTTACGAACCGACGAATGACTCCTTGGCAAGGGAGCACCAACTCGAACAACTCAAGAGTTGTGTAAGTTCACGTCAGCTCACGGTTTACTGGTCTTACGGTGTATTGCTCGCCAGGTAACCCAGTCAAACACCGAGCTAGAGCTGCCTTTCTGGTGGACCCTCCGATAGGCCAACCACAGAATCTAGGCTTCCACTCTCCTCCTTGTCCAACTACCACGTCCCTGAATGTCTGCATATTTCGTTGTATGATGGTGGATACCACCTCTGAGCTAGATCATTGAAGTTGACCGTGTTCAGGGGCTCGTGGCCGTCCGTGAGAGAACCTCCGAATTCGGAGGCGCCCAGATGAAGCTGTAAGGACTTGCGATAAGCCATCACTGAGACGGTACTATGTAGACACTCCTGCGCGCGCAATTCCGGGTATCGATTATGATGGCTTGCGCGAATATTCGGCGCGTTTGTGTCGGACCAGCACCCACCAAACGGACGCACTGGTCCCAATCGCGGCGCCACCGCACAACGTTGCTGAGGTCGAAACTGAAACCGGGTTCGCCATCATTTATACATCCACTCCACAAGTATGACCAAGGTGGCTCGACTGCATAAGTCCTCCTCTTTTCGTGCCGTGCGGTGGTGCTCAATAGTGTCAAGTGACAATTCGTACTACAAATTGTGTTGTCCTATGTATATCATCTCGTGCCAGTCATCGACACACCATGTAAGGCTTTATGTGACAGTGTGACTGTGACCCTGTGCCACAGTGACTGCGAATAAGCTTCCACGACCTTTCCGCGCCATATACGGCACAATTTTCTTTTGCTGTATTTTGCCGTTTGTGACATCGATTCTAAGTTCTTTCTACTGCTCTCGTCGTGGGAGGCAGTGATTGAGACCTCTGGCAAGCACTGGAGTTGTTACCATATTTTAAGGACTCTACGCCACTAGGCCCATTATGCATGGCGACGGGTACAAACACTCCCTTGTAATGGACGTTCTGCTGCCAGGTTGAAATGCCCCCGGGACTCGTCATAGGAATGTGAGCGTTTTGCGCTTGCTGTTGGGAAGGAAGATAGAGTGAACTAGGAAGGAAGACGTGTTGCGTGGAATTGGCCTTCGTAACAATAGAGTTTTTTTGCCTCGATATGTTGAAGTTTGAGATATTCCGGTTGTGTCGACAAAATTGATCTTTTACTACCTGTGAAATTGATTGTAATAAGGCGCAGCTTGGAGTGGTGGCATAGCTGCCCCATCTTACCATAGAAAGGATCTAATTCCATCCTAAAGGTACTAACATAGAGCTGCTATAGGATGCTGATATGGGATGCGTCGCCAACTTGTTTACTCACACTTGAAGTGTCAAACCGAATCTTGCCAAGCATGTAGCTCTATACCATTCATTATGTCACTACATGGAGTGGAATGTCGAACCTTGCAGAGTTTGAGGTTATCGAGTGCCCTATGCATTCCTTAGGGCGCTTTGCATGTTTATCTACGACCTCAGCATATCTCCAGGCTGATATGAGTGAGTCTTTGAGTCGAGTCTCGTACTTGATCGTGTTCTCTCACTCACTATCTATTGTGTACAAGTGCTCTATCAATTCCGTGCCATTGGCACGGTGCCAAAACTGCCTAGGATGAAAAAGAGTGCGTGTATGCAGTTGCTTGAAACGGTCTCATGCAGACGAATGGCTATCACTTCTACTCGACTCCTCCTCGGCGAGCCCCACCGCCAGCGCACCCCGTTAGACGTTCACCCGAAGAAGAAGTGTATCGGGGTGGTCCGCGCATACGCTATGATGTTGGACAGACGTCCTTTCATCGTACCGAATATGACCAGGGTAGCCTTGCCACGATAAGCTTCATGTCGAACCATCGTCCGCTTTCTGCGAGGGGTGGGCCATCAGTTGAATGGTATGGCGGTTATGAGAACATCTCTCCCCAAGCGTTGCGGCATGACGATAAAGGTGAATATCAGAGAGGAGAGTAGAGATGTTCAAGTCATCAGGTGTGCACTTGCTCAGTTCCTTGTACTTTTCGGAGGGAAGACGAGTACTACTATTGCCGAGATCCGCTAGCCTACGACGAAGGACAGGTACGACAGCTGGCATCAAGTCAAGTATGACAAACACCTGAAACCATTTCAGATCACACAAGGGTCTCAATCTGAGGATCTGTATTCCTATATAGACTATCTTCAACGTGACACTCCATCTTATGCTCACCGTCATGTCCCAGCCAGCTATAGAGATGCAGATTGGCATCTACCACCGCATGGCTTGGGGAGTCGGACTCAAATTGGTGTCTACGGAGCCGCACCTCGAGAGTCTATGGCGGATTCGTGCCCGAAAACGGTTGAGAAGAGTGTCTCGGAGTGGAGTAACGAAGGGATGCCTATCCAATACCAGAAAGCTGACGGGTCCCATTGTGAGTATCGTACAAACTTTGATGGAGAGGTGGAGCAACCATCGACGAAGGAGTCGGAGCATGATGAGAACAGTGGTCTCCATCAGCGTGATGAACTTGATGGTCGTCCTAGAGCAGTTGATGTTGCAAGCTTCCCGCTAGGATGGTCTTTGGCTACTAGGCTGATCCCATCTGGTGCTGTGAAGCGAGAATATGACATGTCAGCCAGCAGGCCGGGGTTGCCCCTTTATATAGTACGCCATGAGGCTATCAAGTTTTTCCAAGTGCTGATGTCAAGTGAAACCCCTTATTTCAAGTCTATTGGCGAGGGTTGGGCCCTTAATGGCTTCATGTATTGTCTCACCGAGGACGATGATGTTGGTGTAGTTGTCCGGCAAGTGGAGGACTCGTCCACGTGCGGAGATACAGCCCGAATCATGCTGAGTGTTGTTACCAGAGATTCCGAGACGGAGAGCGGAAGTTCGGGTAGAATATCTGCAGCCATCGAGGCATGGGACTATGCTCTGAGGCAGCTCGTCAACGGAGCAAGTGCACAGACGGTAGGTCCCATTCGCTCCCCGGCTTGTATACTTCAGCGCTTCTAGTCAGGTTCGCTCTCTGCGTAATGGTCTATTCCGTAGCTACCTGGACCAATATTACTTCGCTGGTTTACCGATGAGCTATCTCCCATCATGGACAAAGCTGAGTCGACCACCTCCCTCGGATAGGCTTGAGTATCTCACTACTCAATGATATGCAGACTGTTGGCTTACCCTTACACTCGTCAAGCCTGGTTTGGATGCAGTCTAGCTTGTTGGAGTGTAATCGGTGAAGTATCCAGCTACGATGAGTGCGAGGTGTGGTATGTAGCATACTCCAGCCAGCTGTTTCATGGGCCCGTTCTACTACGACTGTTAGGGTCTTAATCATCCCGTGCTCCCTAGATTACACACTATATCCACATGTGCTGCTCTCGGGATTGTTACCGCTCTCTGTGGATCATCTCTCTCACAAGAACCAGTCACACCTCGATATTATTCGAGTATGACCAAGTCGGCGTCCCGTATTAGTTGAATACGAGTCGTACTCGACTGATACATACTGGACGACTACTTGATTGAAATGAGTTTGTTGGACTAATTTCCGAGGATCTAATCCCTCGATTGACACTGAATTCAGGGCTCCTACATCCTTTGGAATTCCCACTTACCACATATGTTTCATGTTTTTCTGTTCGTTGAGTTGTTTGGGCTCGTAGCCTTTGGACACTTATGCTCAGTGATTCCGCTCAAGTATGATTTTATCATTTGCAAGGAGACTCCCACATAAAGCCAATGGGAGGAGAGGAAGCGAC